CAGCATGGAGTCTGGAGTCTATCCTTAAGACAGTGGTTCTGCTGGCTCTTTCATGTTTAGTCTGCTGCTGTGAATGTTACTGTGCAGCCAGAGATTAAATCCCTCAGTCATCTTGTGCTAAGCTAAGCTAAACTCACTGGGCTATGATATCTATGCTGTGTGGACTTTCCACCCAGACATCTGTGCAGTCTGTGTGCTGTTCCTACTGCGTCCCAAATGGCACCCTATTCCCTATGGAAGCTGTGCACTATGTAGGGAAAAGGTTGTGATTTGGGACGCAACCTGTGGCTAGGGTAGGGGCTGCATAGAGGCTGTATTTTGTATTTGTATTTATTATGGATCCCCATTAGTTCCTGCCAAGGCAGCAGCTACTCTTCCTGGGGTTTATTATGGATCCCCATTAGTTCCTGCCAAGGCAGCAGCTACTCTTCCTGGGGTTTATTATGGATCCCCATTAGTTCCTGCCAAGGCAGCAGCTACTCTTCCTGGGGTTTATTATGGATCCCCATTAGTTCCTGCCAAGGCAGCAGCTACTCTTCCTGGGGTTTATTATGGATCCCCATTAGTTAGTGCCAAGGCAGCAGCTACTCTTCCTGGGTTTATTATGGATCCCCATTAGTTTCCTGCCAAGGCAGCAGCTACTCTTCCTGGGGTTTATTATGGATCCCCATTAGTTCCTGCCAAGGCAGCAGCTACTCTTCCTGGGGTTTATTATGGATCCCCATTAGTTCCTGCCAAGGCAGCAGCTACTCTTCCTGGGGTTTATTATGGATCCCCATTAGTTCCTGCCAAGGCAGCAGCTACTCTTCCTGGGGTTTATTATGGATCCCCATTAGTTCCTGCCAAGGCAGCAGCTACTCTTCCTGGGGTTTATTTTGGATCTCCATTAGTTCCTGCCAAGGCAGCAGCTACTCTTCCTGGGGTTTATTATGGATCCCCATTAGTTCCTGCCAAGGCAGCAGCTACTCTTCCTGGGGTCGAGCAAAATTAAGGCAGCTCATACAATTTTAAAAACATGACAATACATTCACAATACACTGTGTGCCCTCAGGCCGCTACTCCACCAATACCACATACAGTGAGGGAAAAAAGTATTTGATCCCCTGCTGATTTTGTACGTTTGCCCACTGACAAAGACATGATCAGTCTATAATGTTAATGGTAGGTGTATTTGAACAGTGAGAGACAGAATAACAACAAAAAAACCAGAAAAACACGTCAAAAATGTTATAAATTGATTTGCATTTTAATGAGGGAAATAAGTATTTGACTCCTCTGCAAAACATGACTTAGTACTTGGTGACAAAACCCTTGTTGGCAATCACAGAGGTCAGACGTTTCTTGTAGTTGGCCACCAGGTTTGCACACATCTCAGGAGGGATTTTGTTCCACTCCTCTTTGCAGATCTTCTCCAAGTCATTAAGGTTTCGAGGCTGACGTTTGGCAACTCAAACCTTCAGCTCCCTCCACAGATTTTCTATGGGATTAAGGTCTGGAGCCTGGCTAGGCCACTCCAGGACCTTAATGTGCTTCTTCTTGAGCCACTCCTTTGTTGCCTTGGCCATGTGTTTTGGGTCATTGTCATGCTGGAATACCCATCCACGACCCATTTTCAATGCCCTAGCTGAGGGAAGGAGGTTCTCACCCAAGATTTGATGGTACATGGCCCTGTCCATTGTCCCTTTGATGCGGTGAAGTTGTCCTGTCCCCTTAGCAGAAAAACACCCCCAAAGCATAATGTTTCCACCTCCATGTTTGACGGTGGGGATGGTGTTCTTGGGGTCATAGGCAGCATTCCTCCTCCTCCAAACACGGCGAGTTGAGTTGATGCCAAAGAGCTCGATTTTGGTCTCATCTGACCACAACACCTTCACCCAGTTCTCCTCTGAATCATTCAGATGTTCATTGGCAAACTTCAGACGGGCCTGTATTTGTGCTTTCTTGAGCAGGGGGACCTTGCGGGCGCTGCAGGATTTCAGTCCTTCACGGCGTAGTGTGTTACCAATTGTTTTCTTGGTGACTATGGTCCCAGCTGCCTTGAGATCATTGACAAGATTCTCCCGTGTAGTTCTGGGCTGATTCCTCACCGTTCTCATGATCATTGCAACTCCACAAGGTGAGATCTTGCATGGAGCCCCAGGCCGAGGGAGATTGACAGTTCTTTTGTGTTTCTTCCATTTGCGAATAATCACTCCCTTTAAGAGTGTGCTCCTAATCTCAGCTCGTTACCTGTATAAAAGACACCTGGGAGCCAGAAATCTTTCTGATTGAGAGGGGGTCAAATACTTATTTCTCTCATTAAAATGCAAATCAATTTATAACATTTTTGACATGCGCTTTTCTGGATTTTTTGTTGTTATTCTGTCTCTCACTGTTCAAATAAACCTACCATTAAAATTATAGACTGATAATTTCTTTGTCAGTGGGCAAACGTACAAAATCAGCAGGGGATCAAATACCTTTTTCCCCTCACTGTATATACAGTACAAAATCCATGTGTACGTGTGTGTATAGTGCGAATGTTATCGTGTGTGTGTGTGTGCATACATGCGTCTGTGCCTATGTGTGTGTTGCTTCACAGTCCCCACTGTTCCATAAGGTATATTTTTATCTGTTTTTTCAATCTGATTCTACTGCTTTCATCAGTTACCTGATGTGGAATAGAGTTCCATGTAGTCATGGCTCTATGTAGTACTGTGCGCCTCCCATAGTCTGTTCTGAACGTGGGGACTGTGAAGAGACCTCTGGTGGCATGTCTTATGGGGTAAGCATGAGAGACTGAGCTGTGCGCCAGTAGCTCAAACAGACAGCTCGGTGCACCCGACATGTCAACACCTCTCATAAATACAAGAAGTGATGAAGTCAATCTCTCCTCCACTTTGAGCCAGGAGAAATCGACATTGCATATTATTAATGTTAGCTCTCTGTGTACATCCAAGGGCCAGCCGTGCTGCCCTGTTCTGAGCCAATTGCAATTTTCCTAAGTTATTTTTTGTGGCACCTGACCACACGACTGAACAGTAGTCCAGGTGTGACAAAACTAGGGCCTGTAGGACCTGCCTTGTTGATAGTGTTGTTAAGGTAGAGCAGCACTTTATTATGGACAGACTTCTCCCCATCTTAGCTATTGTTGTATCAATAGGTTTTGACCATGACAGTTTACAATCCAGGGTTACTTCAAGCAGTTTAGTCACCTCAACTTGCTCAATTTCCACATTATTTATTACAATATTTAGTTGAGGTTTAGGGTTTAGTGAATGATTTGTGCCAAGTACAATGCTTTTAGTTTTGGAAATATTTAGGACTAACTTATTCCTTGCCACCCATTCTGAAACGAACTGCAGCTCTTTGTTAAGTGTTGCAGTCATTTCAGTCGCTGTAGTAGCTGACATGTATAGTGTTGAGTCATCCGCATACATAGACACTCTGGATTTACTCAAAGCCAATGGCATGTCATTAGTAAAGATTGAAAAAAGTAAGGGGCCTAGACAGCTGCCCTGGGGAATTCCTGATTCTACCTGGATTTTGTTGGAGAAGCTTCCATTAAAGAACACCCTCTGTGTTCTGTTAGACAGGTAACTCTTTATCCACATTATAGCAGGGGGTGTAAAGCCATAACACATATGTTATGTATATCGATAAAGTCAAAAGCCGCACTGAAGTCTAACAAAACAGCCCCCACAATCTTTTCATCATCAATTTCTCTCAGCCAATCATCAGTCATTTGTGTAAGTGCTGTGCTTGTTGAATGTCCTTCTCTATAAGCGTGCTGAAAGTTCGTTGTCAATTTGTTAATGTAAAATAGCATTGTATCTGGTCAAACACAATTTTTCCCAATAGTTTACTAAGGGTTGGTAACAGGCTGATTGGTCGGCTATTTGAGCCAGTAAAGGGGGCTTTACTATTCTTAGGTAGCGGAATGACTTTTGCTTCCCTCCAGGCCTGAGGGCACACACTTTCTAGTAGGCTTAAATTGAAGATATGGCAAATAGGAGTGGCAATATCGTCCGCTATTATCCTCAGTAATTTTCCATCCAAGTTGGAAAATTGTGGTCCTCTGTAGCTCAATTGGTAGAGCATGGCGCTTGTAACGCCAGGGTAGTGGGTTCGATCCCCGGGACCACCCATACGTAAAAATGTATGCACACATGACTGTAAGTCGCTTTGGATAAAAGCGTCTGCTAAATGGCATATTATTATTATATTATATATTTAAAATCACCCAGAAAGTATACCTCTCTATTGATATCACATTCATTATCAATCATTTCACACGTTATCCAGATACTGACTGTTAGCACTTGGTTGTCTATAGCAGCTTCCCACCAGAATGGGCTTTAGGTGAGGCAGATGAACCTGTAGCCATATTACTTCAACAGTATTTAACATGAGATCCTCTCTGATCTTCAGAGGAATGTGGTTCTGAATATAAACAGCAACACCTCCACCGTTGGCATTTCTATCTTTTCTGTAAATGTTATAACCTTGTATTGCTACCACTGTCTCATCAAAGGTATTATCTAAGTGAGTTTCAGAGATAGTCAGAATATGAATGTCATCTGTTACTAGCAAATTATTGATTTCATGAACCTTGTTTCTTAACCTACATTATGTTAACGTGGGCTATTTTGAGCACTTTTCTTCTGGGATGATTACTTGTTTTTATTGCTTTACTGGGAAGCTTAGCAGCAGTAGATGTGGTCATGTTCTTTATGTTAGTGCAGGGTGAGCTGCACACAGTGGACTTCCTCCTCGGGCACACCGGCTCAGTGCTAACAGTATAAATCTGGTTCTTAGGCACATGATTACTGCATACAATAGCTGTAGGATCAGCAGAGGCATTCAGGGCAGTTAGAGGGACATCAATTAGGTTACTTATGTACATTTGCTGAAGCATTTTGACAACTCTGCATCACAATGGTAGGGATTAGCTGAGCTAGGCTAGGGTAGGGCCTGCATAGAGTCGGTGGCTAGGGGAAGGGCCTGCATAGAGTCGGTGGCTAGGGGAAGGGCTGAATAGAGTCTGTGGTTAGGGGAAGGGCCTGCATAGAGTCGGTGGCTAGGGGTAGGGCCTGCATAGAGTCGGTGGCTAGGGGAAGGGCCTGCATAGAGTCGGTGGCTAGGGGAAGGGCCTGCATAGAGTCGGTGGCTAGGGGAAGGGCTGAATAGAGGCTGTGGTTAGGGTAGGGCCTGCATAGAGTCGGTGGCTAGGGGTAGGGGCCTGCATAGAGTCGGTGGCTAGGGGTAGGGCTGAATAGAGGCTGTGGTTAGGGTAGGGCCTGCATAGAGTCGGTGGCTAGGGGTAGGGCCTGCATAGAGTCGGTGGCTAGGGGTAGGGCTGAATAGAGGCTGTGGTTAGGGTAGGGCCTGCATAGAGTCGGTGGCTAGGGGAAGGGCCTGCATAGAGTCGGTGGCTAGGGGAAGGGCCTGCATAGAGGCTGTGGTTAGGGGAAGGGCTGAATAGAGGCTGTGGTTAGGGTAGGGCCTGCATAGAGTCGGTGGCTAGGGGAAGGGCCTGCATAGAGTCGGTGGCTAGGGGAAGGGCCTGCATAGAGTCGGTGGCTAGGGGAAGGGCTGAATAGAGGCTGTGGTTAGGGTAGGGCCTGCATAGAGTCGGTGGCTAGGGTAGGGCCTGCATAGAGTCGGTGGCTAGGGGAAGGGCCTGCATAGAGTCGGTGGCTAGGGGAAGGGCCTGCATAGAGTCGGTGGCTAGGGGAAGGGCTGAATAGAGGCTGTGGTTAGGGGAAGGGCTGAATAGAGGCTGTGGCTAGGGGTAGGGCCTGCATAGAGTCGGTGGCTAGGGGAAGGGCTGAATAGAGGCTGTGGCTAGGGGAAGGGCTGAATAGAGGCTGTGGTTAGGGGAAGGGCTGAATAGAGGCTGTGGTTAGGGTAGGGCCTGCATAGAGTCGGTGGCTAGGGGAAGGGCTGAATAGAGGCTGTGGTTAGGGTAGGGCCTGCATAGAGTCGGTGGCTAGGGTAGGGCTGAATAGAGGCTGTGGTTAGGGTAGGGCCTGCATAGAGTCGGTGGCTAGGGGAAGGGCTGAATAGAGGCTGTGGTTAGGGGAAGGGCTGAATAGAGGCTGTGGTTAGGGTAGGGCCTGCATAGAGTCGGTGGCTAGGGGAAGGGCTGAATAGAGGCTGTGGTTAGGGTAGGGCCTGCATAGAGTCGGTGGCTAGGGGAAGGGCTGAATAGAGGCTGTGGCTAGGGGTAGGGCTGAATAGAGGCTGTGGCTAGGGGTAGGGCTGAATAGAGGCTGTGGCTAGGGGTAGGGCCTGCATAGAGTCGGTGGCTAGGGGTAGGGCCTGCATAGAGTCGGTGGCTAGGGGTAGGGCTGAATAGAGGCTGTGGTTAGGGTAGGGCCTGCATAGAGTCGGTGGCTAGGGTAGGGCCTGCATAGAGTCGGTGGCTAGGGGAAGGGCCTGCATAGAGTCGGTGGCTAGGGGAAGGGCCTGCATAGAGTCGGTGGCTAGGGGAAGGGCCTGAATAGAGGCTGTGGTTAGGGGAAGGGCCTGCATAGAGTCGGTGGCTAGGGGAAGGGCTGAATAGAGGCTGTGGCTAGGGGAAGGGCCTGCATAGAGTCGGTGGCTAGGGGAAGGGCTGAATAGAGGCTGTGGTTAGGGGAAGGGCTGAATAGAGGCTGTGGCTAGGGGTAGGGCCTGCATAGAGTCGGTGGCTAGGGGAAGGGCTGAATAGAGGCTGTGGCTAGGGGAAGGGCTGAATAGAGGCTGTGGTTAGGGGAAGGGCTGAATAGAGGCTGTGGTTAGGGTAGGGCCTGCATAGAGTCGGTGGCTAGGGGAAGGGCTGAATAGAGGCTGTGGTTAGGGTAGGGCCTGCATAGAGTCGGTGGCTAGGGGAAGGGCCTGCATAGAGTCGGTGGCTAGGGGAAGGGCTGAATAGAGGCTGTGGTTAGGGGAAGGGCTGAATAGAGGCTGTTGTTAGGGGAAGGGCCTGCATAGAGTCGGTGGTTAGGGGAAGGGCTGAATAGAGGCTGTGGTTAGGGGAAGGGCCTGCATAGAGTCGGTGGCTAGGGGAAGGGCTGAATAGAGGCTGTGGCTAGGGGTAGGGCCTGAATAGAGTCGGTGGCTAGGGGAAGGGCTGAATAGAGGCTGTGGTTAGGGGAAGGGCTGAATAGAGGCTGTGGTTAGGGTAGGGCCTGCATAGAGTCGGTGGCTAGGGGAAGGGCTGAATAGAGGCTGTGGTTAGGGGAAGGGCTGAATAGAGGCTGTGGTTAGGGTAGGGCCTGCATAGAGTCGGTGGCTAGGGGTAGGGCCTGCATAGAGTCGGTGGCTAGGGGAAGGGCTGAATAGAGGCTGTGGTTAGGGGAAGGGCTGAATAGAGGCTGTGGTTAGGGTAGGGTCTGCATAGAGTCGGTGGCTAGGGGAAGGGCTGAATAGAGGCTGTGGTTAGGGGAAGGGCTGAATAGAGGCTGTGGTTAGGGTAGGGCCTGCATAGAGTCGGTGGCTAGGGTAGGGCCTGCATAGAGTCGGTGGCTAGGGGAAGGGCTGAATAGAGGCTGTGGTTAGGGGAAGGGCTGAATAGAGGCTGTGGTTAGGGGTAGGGCTGAATAGAGGCTGTGGCTAGGGGTAGGGCCTGCATAGAGTCGGTGGCTAGGGGAAGGGCTGAATAGAGGCTGTGGTTAGGGGAAGGGCTGAATAGAGGCTGTGGTTAGGGGTAGGGCTGAATAGAGAATGTGGCTAGGGGAAGGGCTGAATAGAGGCTGTGGCTAGGGGTAGGGCCTGCATAGAGTCGGTGGCTAGGGGTAGGGCCTGCATAGAGTCGGTGGCTAGGGGAAGGGCTGAATAGAGGCTGTGGTTAGGGTAGGGCCTGCATAGAGTCGGTGGCTAGGGGAAGGGCTGAATAGAGGCTGTGGTTAGGGGAAGGGCTGAATAGAGGCTGTGGTTAGGGGAAGGGCTGATTAGAGGCTGTGGTTAGGGGTAGGGCCTGCATAGAGTCGGTGGCTAGGGGAAGGGCTGAATAGAGGCTGTTGGCTAGGGTAGGGGCCTGCATAGAGTCGGTGGCTAGGGGAAGGGCTGAATAGAGGCTGTGGTTAGGGGAAGGGCTGAATAGAGGCTGTGGTTAGGGGAAGGGCTGAATAGAGGCTGTGGTTAGGGGTAGGGCCTGCATAGAGTCGGTGGCTAGGGTAGGGCCTGCATAGAGTCGGTGGCTAGAGGAAGGGCTGAATAGAGGCTGTGGTTAGGGGAAGGGCTGAATAGAGGCTGTGGTTAGGGTAGGGCCTGCATAGAGTCGGTGGCTAGGGGAAGGGCTGAATAGAGGCTGTGGTTAGGGGTAGGGCTGAATAGAGGCTGTGGCTAGGGGAAGGGCCTGCATAGAGTCGGTGGCTAGGGGAAGGGCTGCATAGAGGCTGTGGTTAGGGGAAGGGCCTGCATAGAGTCGGTGGCTAGGGGAAGGGCCTGCATAGAGTCGGTGGCTAGGGGAAGGGCCTGCATAGAGTCGGTGGTTAGGGGGAAGGGCTGAATAGAGTCTGTGGTTAGGGTAGGGCCTGCATAGAGTCGGTGGCTAGGGGAAGGGCTGAATAGAGTCGGTGGCTAGGGTAGGTCCTGCATAGAGTCGGTGGCTAGGGGAAGGGCCTGCATAGAGTCGGTGGCTAGGGGAAGGGCTGAATAGAGGCTGTGGTTAGGGTAGGGCCTGCATAGAGTCGGTGGCTAGGGGAAGGGCCTGCATAGAGTCGGTGGTTAGGGGAAGGGCTGAATAGAGGCTGTGGTTAGGGGAAGGGCTGAATAGAGGCTGTGGCTAGGGGAAGGGCTGAATAGAGGCTGTGGCTAGGGGAAGGGCTGAATAGAGGCTGTGGTTAGGGGTAGGGCCTGCATAGAGTCGGTGGCTAGGGGAAGGCCTGAATAGAGGCTGTGGCTAGGGGAAGGGCTGAATAGAGGCTGTGGTTAGGGGTAGGGCCTGCATAGAGTCGGTGGCTAGGGGAAGGGCTGAATAGAGGCTGTGGCTAGGGGAAGGGCCTGCATAGAGTCGGTGGCTAGGGGAAGGGCCTGCATAGAGTCGGTGGCTAGGGGAAGGGCTGAATAGAGGCTGTGGTTAGGGGAAGGGCTGAATAGAGGCTGTGGTTAGGGGAAGGGCTGCATAGAGGCTGTGGTTAGGGGTAGGGCCTGCATAGAGTCGGTGGCTAGGGTAGGGCCTGCATAGAGTCGGTGGCTAGGGGAAGGGCCTGCATAGAGTCGGTGGCTAGGGGAAGGGCTGAATAGAGGCTGTGGTTAGGGGAAGGGCTGAATAGAGGCTGTGGCTAGGGGAAGGGCTGAATAGAGGCTGTGGTTAGGGTAGGGCCTGCATAGAGTCGGTGGCTAGGGTAGGGCCTGCATAGAGTCGGTGGCTAGGGGAAGGGCTGAATAGAGGCTGTGGCTAGGGGAAGGGCTGAATAGAGGCTGTGGCTAGGGGAAGGGCTGAATAGAGGCTGTGGCTAGGGGAAGGGCTGAATAGAGGCTGTGGCTAGGGGAAGGGCTGAATAGAGTCGGTGGCTAGGGGAAGGGCCTGCATAGAGTCGGTGGCTAGGGGTAGGGCCTGCATAGAGTCGGTGGCTAGGGGAAGGCCTGCATAGAGTCGGTGGCTAGGGGAAGGGCTGAATAGAGGCTGTGGCTAGGGGAAGGGCTGAATAGAGTCGGTGGCTAGGGGAAGGGCTGAATAGAGTCGGTGGCTAGGGGAAGGGCTGAATAGAGGCTGTGGTTAGGGGAAGGGCCTGCATAGAGTCGGTGGCTAGGGGTAGGGCCTGCATAGAGTCGGTGGCTAGGGGAAGGGCTGAATAGAGGCTGTGGTTAGGGGAAGGGCTGAATAGAGGCTGTGGTTAGGGTAGGGCCTGCATAGAGTCGGTGGCTAGGGGAAGGGCTGAATAGAGTCGGTGGCTAGGGGAAGGGCCTGCATAGAGGCTGTGGTTAGGGGAAGGGCTGATTAGAGGCTGTGGTTAGGGGAAGGGCTGAATAGAGGCTGTGGTTAGGGGAAGGGCTGAATAGAGGCTGTGGCTAGGGGAAGGGCCTGCATAGAGGCGGTGGCTATTGGGGAAGGGGGCCTGAATAGAGGCGGTGGCTAGGGGAAGGGCTGAATAGAGGCTGTGGTTAGGGTAGGCCTGCATAGAGTCGGTGGCTAGGGGAAGGGGCTGAATAGAGGCTGTGGTTAGGGGAAGGGCCTGCATAGAGTCGTGGCTAGGGGAAGGGCCTGCATAGAGTCGGTGGCTAGGGGTAGGGCTGAATAGAGGCTGTGGTTAGGGGAAGGGCTGAATAGAGGCTGTGGTTAGGGTAGGGCCTGCATAGAGTCGGTGCTAAGGGGAAGGGCGAATAGCGGCTGGTGGTTAGGGGGAAGGGCCTGATAGAGTCGGTGGCTAGGGGAAGGGCTGAATAGAGGCTGTGGCTAGGGGTAGGGCCTGCACTAGAGGCTGTGGTGGGGAAGGGCCTGCATAGAGTCGTGGCTAGGGGAAGGGCTGAATAGAGGCTGTGGCTAGGGGAGGGCCTGACATAGAGTTGGTGGCTAGGGGAAGGGCTGATAGAGGCTGTGGTTAGGGTAAGGGGCCTGCATAGAGTCGGTGGCTAGGGTAGGGCCTGCATAGAGTCGGTGGCTAGGGGTAGGGCCTGCATAGAGTCGGTGGCTAGGGGTAGGGCCTGCATAGAGTCGGTGGCTAGGGGAAGGGCTGAATAGAGGCTGTGGTTAGGGGAAGGGCCTGCATAGAGTCGGTGGCTAGGGGAAGGGCTGAATAGAGGCTGTGGTTAGGGGAAGGGCTGAATAGAGGCTGTGGTTAGGGTAGGGCCTGCATAGAGGCTGTGGTTAGGGGAAGGGCTGAATAGAGGCTGTGGTTAGGGTAGGGCCTGCATAGAGTCGGTGGCTAGGGGAAGGGCTGAATAGAGGCTATTTAAAAACAGCAGAGAATCCTGGACTCATCTTCTGTATGTAGCATAACAACATCACATTCAATCAAACCCTAAATCCCACAGATAGTTTCCCGGTTTATTCCCTTTTCAGTTTTGAGTTCAGCAATAGATTGCATGGCTGAAAAGACCATTTCAAATTTGTATCACTTAGGCCTAACCCCTGGCAAAAAAATAAACTATGTTTTCAGCATGAGACAAACAGAAAATCAACTGTATATCAGAAAGATTTCTGGCTCCCAGGTGTCTTTTATACAGGTAACGAGCTGAGATTAGGAGCACACTCTTAAAGGGAGTGCTCCTAATCTCAGTTTGTTACCTGTATAAAAGACACCTGTCCACAGAAGCAATCAATCAATCAGATTCCAAACTCTCCACCATGGCCAAGACCAAAGAGCTCTCCAAGGATGTCAGGGACAAGATTGTAGACCTACACAAGGCTGGAATGGGCTACAAGACCATCGCCAAGCAGCTTTGTGAGAAGGTGACAACAGTTGGTGCGATTATTCGCAAATGGAAGAAACACAAAAGACCTGTCAATCTCCCTCGGCCTGGGGCTCCATGCAAGATCTCACCTCGTGGAGTTGCAATGATCATGAGAACGGTGAGGAATCAGCCCAGAACTACACGGGAGGATCTTGTCAATGATCTCAAGGCAGCTGGGACCATAGTCACCAAGAAAACAATTGGTAACACACTACGCCGTGAAGGACTGAAATCCTGCAGCGCCCGCAAGGTCCCCCTGCTCAAGAAAGCACATATACAGGCCCGTCTGAAGTTTGCCAATGAACATCTGAATGATTCAGAGGAGAACTGGGTGAAAGTGTTGTGATCAGATGAGACCAAAATCGAGCTCTTTGGCATCAACTCAACTCGCCGTGTTTGGAGGAGGAGGAATGCTACCTATGACCCCAATAACACCATCCCCACCGTCAAACATGGAGGTGGAAACATTATGCTTGGGGGTGTTTTTCTGCTAAGGGGACAGGACAACTTCACTGCATCAAAGGGACGATGGACGGGGCCATGTACCATCAAATCTTGGGTGAGAACCTCCTTCCCTCAGCCAGGGCATTGAAAATGGGTCGTGGATGGGTATTCCAGCATGACAATGACCCAAAACACATGGCCAAGGCAACAAAGGAGTGGCTCAAGAAGAAGCACATTAAGGTCCTGGAGTGGCCTAGCCAGTCTCCAGACCTTAATCCCATAGAAAATCTGTGGAGGGAGCTGAAGGTTCGAGTTGCCAAACGTCAGCCTCGAAACCTTAATGACTTGGAGAAGATCTGCAAAGAGGAGTGGGACAAAATCCCTCCTGAGATGTGTGCAAACCTGGTGGCCAACTACAAGAAACGTCTGACCTCTGTGATTGCCAACAAGGGTTTTGCCACCAAGTACTAAGTCATGTTTTGCAGAGGGGTCAAATACTTGTTTCCCTCATTAAAATGCAAAACAATTTCTAACATTTTTGACATGCGCTTTTCTGGATTTTTGTTGTTGTTATTCTGTCTCTCACTGTTCAAATAAACCTACCATTAAAATTATAGACTGATCATGTCTTTGTCAGTGGGCAAACGTACAAAATCAGCAGGGGATCAAATACTTTTTTCCCTCACTGTATATGTGTCAGGACCCAGTAGGACTGATGGAATAAGGCCCAGTGTCAGGACCCAGTAGGACTAACCCATTGTGATGGAATAAGGCCCAGTGTCAGGACCCAGTAGGACTAACCCATTGTGATGGAATAAGGCCCAGTGTCAGGACCCAGTAGGACAACCCATTGTGATGGAATAAGGCCCAGTGTCAGGACCCAGTAGGACTAACCCATTGTGATGGAATAAGGCCCAGTGTCAGGACCCAGTAGGACTAACCCATTGTGATGGAATAAGCCCAGTGTCAGGACCCAGTAGGACTAACCCATTGTGATGGAATAAGGCCCAGTGTCAGGACCCAGTAGGACTAACCCATTGTGATGGAATAAGGCCCAGTGTCAGGACCCAGTAGGACTAACCCATTGTGATGGAATAAGGCCCAGTGTCAGGACCCAGTAGGACTAACCCATTGTGATGGAATAAGGCCCAGTGTCAGGACCCCAGTAGGACTAACCCATTGTGATGGAATAAGGCCCAGTGTCAGGACCCAGTAGGACTAACCCATTGTGATGGAATAAGGCCCAGTGTCAGGACCCAGTAGGACTAACCCATTGTGATGGAATAAGGCCCAGTGTCAGGACCCAGTAGGACTAACCCATTGTGATGGAATAAGGCCCAGTGTCAGGCTGAGCACCCTGCAGGTACATCACATGATAAATTCACCATTTATCTTTAATCCCCCAATTAAAACTAATGATTGATGGGGTCGGGTGCTAAGTGGCCAAATGGCACCCTTTGATGCAGTGCACTACACAGGGACCTGGTCAAAAGTAGCATGCATCCCTCTAAATAACATAGCTGGAAATATTTGATCTTTTAATTTTTTCTGCTAAGCCGGGCAGGCTATGGCGTTTTAGGTTACATATCTATAATACAGTGCTCTCTAGGGCAGGCTACTTCAGCAGGAAACCAACCAGTCAGGGGACGTTGAAATGGAGCCTCCTCTTCTACAGAATGTGCTTCCCAGACACAACACAAGGGCATAATAACCAACCCGCGTCCCAAATCACACCCTATTCCCTTTATAGTGCACTACTTTAGACCACAGCCCTATGGGAAGTAGTGCACTACTTTAGACCACAGCCCTATGGGAAGTAGTGCACTACTTTAGACCACAGCCCTCCATAAGGTGACATCGGGTCGTGGTTAAAAGTAGCGAACTCTGGGGTTAAAGCAAATTAATTTTGCTCAAAAAGACTGGTGCCCTCAACAGTAGGCTAGTAGCCTCGACAGCAGAAATAAAACCCCTGTGGCTATTTCAACGAACATTCTAGAAATCAATACATTTTGTAGCCTGATTTAAGATGCGGGCTACAACCTCTGTCTGTTATAACTAAGGGCAGAAGTAGGGTGTAGTCTATACACATCACATTGGGGGCAAAGCAATCAGCCTTTTAACCACACATTTACATTTGTGATGATGTAATCTTAATAATTACGCTGCCCATATTGTAGCCCGAGTTGCTGAGTACCGCACGATTTGATAGACAGTACGCTACATGATTGAAATTCGCCAGAGTAGCCGTTCCACCTCTGGGAAGCCGAAGGATGGAGCCGTAAGCAGAGTTTGACTGTGGGCGAGTTCGTTTTGGACCCGGTGCCTTACTGCGATTAGTCATAGAGTTGCTGAAGAAAAAAAAATAACACTACTACTTTGACTGGCTGTCTGTCTCCTGCTTAGCCAATGTTTGCAATGATGATGATAAAATTATATTAAAAATCACTACATAGACTGCCGGTCTGTCTTGACTGGGTTTGAAATGCTGCTTATAAAAAGCTGGTTTGTGCCGAGCTTATGTTAGCAATAAAAAATTAAAAGGTCAGAGCAACGATGGATCCACAGCCACTATAGACAGGTGCTACACTAGGCTTTCAGAAAGTATTCAGACCCCTTCACTTTTTCCACATCGTTACGTCACAGCCTTATTCTAAAATTGATTACATAATTCCCCCCCCCCCTCATCAATCTACACACAATACCACATTAATGACAAAGCAAAAACAGGTTTTTAGAAATGTTTGCTAATTTATTAAAAATAAAAAACAGAAATACCTTATTTACGTAAGTATTCAGACCCTTTGCTATGAGTCTCGGAATTGAGCTCAGGTGATTCCTGTTTCCATTGATCATCCTTGAGATGTTTCTATTCAAGTCCACCTGGAATTGTCCGTAGAGCTCATTGACAGGATTGTGTCGAGGCACAGATTTGGGGAAGGGTACCAAAACATTTCTGCAGCAGTGAAGGTCCCCAGGAACACAGTGGCCTCCATCATTAAATCTTAAATGGAAGAAGTTTGGAACCACTAAGACTCTTCTTGGAGCTGGCCGTCCGGCCAAACTGAGCAATCAGGGGAGAAGGGCCTTGGTCAGGGAGGTGACCAAGCACCCAATGGTCACTCTGACAGAGCTCCAGAGTTCCTCTGTGGAGATGGGAGAACCTTCCAGAAAGACAACCATCTCTGCAGCACTCAACCAATCAGGCCTTTATGGTAGTGTGACCAGACGGAAGCCACTGCTCAGTAAAAGGCACATGACAGCCCGCTTGGAGTTTGCCAAAAGGCACCTAAAGGACTCTCAGACCATGAGAAACAAGATTCTCTGGTCTGATGAAACCAAGATTGAACTCTTTGTAGTGTCATACCCAAGAAGACTCAAGGCTGTAATCGCTGCCAAAGGTGCTTCAACAAAGTACTCAGTAAAGGGTCTGAATACTTATGTAAATGTAATGTTTCAGTTTTGTATCTTTAATACATTTCCTACAATTTCTAAAAACCTGTTTTTGCTTTGTCATTATGGGGTATTGTGTAGATTGAGGATTTAAAAAAAATCTATTTCAGAATAAGGCTGTAACGTAACAAAATGTGGAAAAAGTCAAGGGGTCTGAATACTTTCCGAATGCACTGTATATATAAACAATCCATATGATGGAAATCTGTCACAGTGACTGAGAACTTTATCCCCTGTACACAATATAAGGAAGGGGATGTCATCTGGGGAATCATATTAATTATTTAGGGAAGAGGATGTCATCTGGGGAATCATATTAATTATATAGGGAAGAGGATGTCATCTGGGGAATCATTAATTATATAGGGAAGAGGATGTCATCTGGGGAATCATTAATTATATAGGGAAGAGGATGTCATCTGGGGAATCATTAATTATATAGGGAAGAGGATGTCATCTGGGGAATCATTCATTATATAGGGAAGAGGATGTCATCTGGGGAATCATTAATTATATAGGGAAGAGGATGTCATCTGGGGAATCATATTCATTATATAGGGAAGAGGATGTCATCTGGGGAATCATATTCATTATATAGGGAAGAGGATGTCATCTGGGGAATCATTAATTATATAGGGAAGGGGATGTCATCTGGGGAATCATGGCTCCTTTTCCTTTAGAGAAATTAAAGATAGAAATGTCAAGCAGCTCGACAACGAAACAGGAAACAGACGGGCCTGCAGGTCGGAGGAAGGGAACCCCCTTTATGCCTGGAAGGAAGGGAAGGGAAGGGAAGGGAAGGGAAGGGAAGGAAGGAAGGAAGGAAGGAAGGAAGGAAGGAAGGAAGGAAGGAAGGAAGGAAGGAAGGAAGGAAGAGGCCTTGTCTGTGTCCCGAATGGCACCCTATTCCATATGTAGTGCACTACTTTTGACCAGAGCCCTATGGTTCCTATGGTTCCTGGTCTAAAGTAGTGCACTATATAGGGACTAGGGTTCCATTTGGGATGCAAAAGCCTAGGAACAGTAGAAGAGTGGCTTCTGGCCTCAGCAAGATAGGCCTCCCTAAATGAACTACACACTACAATTGGTTTAGTTGTAAACCAATCTATCACTTAGCGACTAACGTAAGCCGGTCAAATTGACTTAGGGGACTAATGACTAAATACTAGTCTATGTTGTTCCAACCAGCAGCATCTATATCTGCTAAAAAATAAAGATCAAGAGCGTGATTTTAGTTTTTACTGTTCTTCAACAAGACATGATACAAGTGGAAACAACTTGTACAATGGAGTGATTTGGGAGTGTCAGTGTTCGGCAGAGTGGAGGGTCAAAGAGCGGTCGTGTCTTGGGAGGGACGTTATAACCTTTGGACAGACAGAACTTCACCCAAGGGCGATTCCATGCGTAGGTTGATAATATTTTTTGGTATCTCAGATTGTTTGACATGAACAATTTTTTTTTTTGAAAATCATTATGAAAGCAGCCATTTTAGACCTGTACCTGCTTTCTGTAAGACCCTATGATCTGTGAACCGTAATGGATCATGGAGTGTCTAGATTCTGAAATACATCAAATGTCCCTCACAGTCCTAAATGGCCCCCTATTCCCTACATAGTGCACTACTTTAGACCAGAGAATGGCACCCTATTCCCTATATAGTGCACTACTTTAGACCAGAGCACCCTATTCCCTATATAGTGCACTACTTTAGACCAGAGCACCCTATTCCCTATATAGTGCACTACTTTAGACCAGAGAATGGCACCCTATTCCCTATATAGTGCACTACTTTAGACCAGAGAATGGCACCCTATTCCCTATATAGTGCACTACTTTAGACCAGAGAATGGCACCCTATTCCCTATATAGTACACTACTTTAGACCAGAGCACCCTATTCCCTATATAGTGCACTACTTTAGACCAGAGAATGGCACCCTATTCCCTATATAGTGCACTACTTTAGACCAGAGAATGGCACCCTATTCCCTATATAGTACAACTACTTTAGACCAGAGCACCCTATTCCCTATATAGTGCACTACTTTAGACCAGGCACCCTATTCCCTATATAGTGCACTACTATTAGGACAAGAATGGACCTAGTCTATAATTCGCATGCTTATAGACCAGAGAATGGAACCCTATTCCCTATATTGGTCTACTTAGACCACTGAAATGGAATGGGTCCTTTACTATAGAACTATCTTGGACAGTTAGCACTTGAGTTCCTGTCCTTTATATTCACTGAGCCAGCTTTACTAAGAGCCAGAATGACTATTCCCTATATAGTGCACTACTTTGACCAGAATGACCTATTGCATATTACATACTTTAGACCAGAAGAACCTATTCTTAGCTTGTACACTAACTTTAACAGAAGCCCATTTCACCTTATGTGCACACTATTGACCAGGGACGCATAGGAATATTTTCTGTAGAATCTGGCAAGATTCCGGAATTCCACACCTATGGAAAAGTGTCACACATGTGCTGGTGCACTTTTAGGAAATGGAGCCATTTTCTGGTCCAACATATACACTTTATAGAGGAAATGGAGAGTGCACCATGGAAAGTATAGGTAGGGAATATATAGGGAATAGGGGTGCCATTCTCGGGGGCTAAAGTAGTGCACTATATAGGGAATAGGGTGCCATTCTCTGGTCTAAAGTAGTGCACTATATAGGAATAGGGTGCCAATTCTCATGGTCTAAAGGAGTGCACTATAATAGGGAAAGGGTGGCCATTCTCTGGTTCTAAAGTAGTGCACTTATATAGGGAATAGGGTCCCTTCTCTGGTCTAAAAGTAGTGCACTATATAGGGAATAGGGTCCATTCTCTGGTCCTAAAGGTAGTGCACTATATAAGGGAATAGGGGTGCCATTCTCTGGTCTAAAAGTAGTGCACTATATATGGGAATAGGGTGCCATTTCTCTGGTCTAAAGTAGTGCACTATATAGGGAATAGGGTGCCGATTCTCCTGGTCCAAAGTAGTGCACTATATTCAGGGAATAGGGTGGGCCATTTAGGAACGTTGGACTATTGGGGAAGTTCCCTGTCCAGTGGTTATAAATGTCCCACCCATGACGCCAGGGCCTGTGTTCACAAAGCGTAGGCCAGAAATATTTTTTGGGTATCTATCTCACATTCTTCTGGCAATTCTCACAGTAACTTCATGAAGAATGTTTGGCATTTCTTTTGCATTTGTATCACCAAAACATTATCACAATGAAAGCAGCCATTTTAGGCCCTTTGTAGACCTATACATGCCCCCGTGTAGCTCAGTTGGTAGAGCATGGTGCTTGCAACGCCAGGGTTGTGGGTTCGATTCCCACAGGGGGCCAGTATGAAAAAAGTATGCACTCACTGGCTGCTGGCTGCTGACTGGTTTACGTCAAATGGAAGCTACAATCCTATACAACTCACTCACTCACACTTTTATAATGAATAGGGTTAAATTTGGGACAAGTCACCCATCCAGGAAAAGGTATCTGGTGTATGAAAATATAATAACTAACTACTGTGAAATACTGGAGGACAGCGCCTTCAGAAAGTATTCATACCCCCCGACTTAATCCACATTTTGTTGTGTTACAGCCCGAATTCAAAATGGATTACATTTGTCTTTTTCTCTCTCACCCGTCTACACAAAATACCCCATAATCACAAAGTGAAAACATGTTTTTAGACATTTTTGCTCATTTAAAAATGAAATACATATCTCATTTACATAAGTATTCACACCCCTGAGTCAATACATGTTAGAATCACCTTTGGCAGCGATTAAAGCTGTGAGTCTTTATGGGTAAGTCTCTAAGATCTTTGCACACATGGATTGTACAATATTATTGAAAAAATTATTCAACCTCTGTCAAGTTGGTTGTTAATCATTGCTAGACAGACATTTCAAATCATGCCATAGATGTTCAAGCCGATTTAAGTCAAAACTGTAACTAGGCAACTCAGGAACATTCAATGTCGTCTTGGTAACCAACTCCAGTGTAGATTTGGCCTTGTGTTTTAGGTTATTGTCCTGCTGAAAGGTGAATTTGTCTCCCAGTGTCTGTTGGAAAGCAGACTGAACCAGGGTTTCCTCTAGGATTTTGCCTGTGCTTAGCTCTATTCCGTTTATTTTTATAAAAATAAAAAAACTCCCTAGTCCTTGCCGATGACAAGCATACCCATAACATGATGCAGCAGCCACCACCATGCTTGAAAATATGAAGAGTGGTACTCTGTGATGTGTTGTGTTGGATTTGCCCCAAACATAACGCTTTGTATTCAGGACAAAAAGTTAACTGAGGATGGATCAAGAAAGTTTCTCCAATCACATCCATTTAAAAACGCTAGCTGTTTTAATGTCACCATCGACCTCATGGTGAAATCCCTGAGCGCTTTCATTCCTCTCCGGCAACTGAGTTAGGAAGGACGCCTGTATCTTTGTGGTGACTGGGTGTATTGATACACCATCCAAAGTGTAATTAATAACTTCACCACGCTCAAAGGGATATTCAATGTCTGCTTTATTTTTTACCCATTTACCAATAGGTGCCCTTCTTTGTGGTTGAATCGGTGTTTGAAATTCACTGCTCGACTGAGGGACCTTACAAATAATTGTATGTGTGGAGTTCAGAGATGAGGTAGTCATTAAAAAATAATGTTAAACACTATTATTGCACACAGAGTGAGTCCATGCAACTTATTATGGGATTTGGTAAGCACATTTTTACTCCTGAACTTATTTAGGCTTTATTTAGGGGTTGAATACTTATTGACTCAAGACCTCAGCTTTTAATTTGTTATTAATTTTGACATCATGGGTTATTGTGTGTCGGCCAGTGACACAATCTCAATTTAATCCATTTTAAATTCAGGCTGTAACACAACAAAATGTGGAAAAAGTCAAAGGGAGTGAATAACTTTCTGAAGGCACTGTACATTTATTGTCTGAACTACATAAATTATTAACAGTAGGGTGGCAGTGCAAACACTGTCGCAAACCCCTTATTGGCTGTTCGGCTCAGTCTGGCTCGCTCATCACCCACAAACCAATGTGACAGCATTTACTATGGCAGAATATCGATTTCAGAGCACATTTAAATAGTTTTCAAATGACTTTTTTGGGATGGTATGTCGTTTTTCTACGTGTGTTGCTTGAGTTCTACAGCAGCGTAAGCTGGTCATGAATGACAAAAACATTGTCTAGTTCAACAGTAGATGATGCTTGAGATGTTATTGTTTAGCTAAACTGTTAGCAAACTATAACTTTGATTTTAGAAGTGGCATCGCCAACATCATTACCAGCAACTTTGTAACCATCTTAAGCCACCCAACCCGTAACATTTACATTTTAGTCATTTAGCAGACGCTCTTATCCAGAGCGACTTACAGGAGCAATTAGGGTTAAGTGCCTTGCTCGAGGGCACATCGACAGATTTTTCACCTAGTCGGCTCGGGGATTAGAACCAGCGACCTTTCGGTTACTGGCACAACGCTCTTAACCACTAAGCTACCTGCCACCTGGTTCCAAGTGAATATCTGTTTGATGCTGTAGGCCGCGTGGACTCCTGATAGACTAAATGAAACTGACGCTCCTGGGTCTGTAAGGTTAGGGGGTACTATCCCAAAAATAAATGCTACCTATTTTGCAACTGCATTATGCTAAGAAAGCCACTCTGACATGCAACAACAATCACTACCTTAAGCCACACCAATCAAAAATGTAACCTAGTAGTTGATTCAAGTTAATAATAGTTGCAGGTTGCATTTGGACAATCAAACTGTCAATCTTTGGCCAGTAAGCAAGATCATCTGTACGGTCACAGTGAAGGCACTATCGAACCAAAATGCTCCCTCTTTCATAACAGCCGTAGTCGATCAAAGCCACCATTACAGGCCTATCATCAATGTATTAGGTCACTCTTCTCCCAGTATCCAGGACATGAAAATATGATCTACTGAACCGGCCTATCAAAACAATGTACCCATCCTCGACCTAACATCTGGTCTGCCTGAGAGAGCAATGACTCAATGATTAGAAGGCCTCAGCCAAGTAGAGACTAAAACAACCATATGGCCTCAGCCAAGTAGAGACTAAAACAACCATATGGCCTCAGCCAAGTAGAGACTAAAACAACCATATGGCCTCAGCCAAGTAGAGACTAAAACAACCATATGGCCTCAGCCAGGTAGACCGACTAAAACAACCATATGGCCTCAGCCAAGTAGAGACTAAAACAACCATATGGCCTCAGCCAAGTAGAGACTAAAACAACCATATGGCCTCAGCCAAGTAGAGACTAAAACAACCATATGGCCTCAGCCAAGTAGAGACTAAAACAACCATATGGCCTCAGCCAAGTAGAGACTAAAACAACCATATGGCCTCAGCCAAGTAGAGACTAAAACAACCATATGGCCTCAGCCAAGTAGACACTAAAACAACCATATGGCCTCAGCCAAGTTGAGACTAAAACAACCATATGGTCTCAGCCAAGTAGAGACTAAAACAACCATATGGCCTCAGCCAAGTAGAGACTAAAACAACCATATGGCCTCAGCCAAGTAGAGACTAAAACAACCATATGGTCTCAGCCAAGTAGAGACTAAAACAACCATACGGCCTCAGCCAAGTAGAGACTAAAACAACCATACGGCCTCAGCCAAGTAGAGACTAAAACAACCATACGGCCTCAGCCAAGTAGAGACTAAAACAACCATACGGCCTCAGCCAAGTAGAGACTAAAACAACCATATGGTCTCAGCCAAGTAGAGACTAAAACAACCATATGGCCTCAGCCAAGTAGAGACTAAAACAACCATATGGCCTCAGCCAAGTAGAGACTAAAACAACCATATGGCCTCAGCCAAGTAGAGACTAAAATAACCATATGGCCTCAGCCAGGTAGACACTAAAACAACCATATGGCCTCAGCCAAGTAGAGACTAAAACAACCATACGGCCTCAGCCAAGTAGAGACTAAAACAACCATATGGTCTCAGCCAAGTAGAGACTAAAACAACCATATGGCCTCAGCCAAGTAGAGACTAAAACAACCATATGGCCTCAGCCAAGTAGAGACTAAAACAACCATATGGCCTCAGCCAAGTAGAGACTAAAACAACCATACGGCCTCAGCCAAGTAGAGACTAAAACAACCATACGGCCTCAGCCAAGTAGAGACTAAAACAACCATATGGCCTCAGCCAAGTAGAGACTAAAACAACCATACGGCCTCAGCCAAGTAGAGACTAAAACAACCATATGGTCTCAGCCAAGTAGACACTAAAACAACCATATGGCCTCAGCCAAGTAGAGACTAAAACAACCATATGACCTCAGCCAAGTAGAGACTAAAACAACCATATGGCCTCAGCCAAGTAGAGACTAAAACAACCATATGGCCTCAGCCAAGTAGACCGACTAAAACAACCATATGGCCTCAGCCAAGTAGAGACTAAAACAACCATATGGTCTCAGCCAAGTAGAGACTAAAACAACCATACGGCCTCAGCCAAGTAGAGACTAAAACAACCATACGGCTTCAGCCAAGTAGAGACTAAAACAACCATATGGCCTCAGCCAAGTAGAGACTAAAACAACCATACGGCCTCAGCCAAGTAGAGACTAAAACAACCATACGGCCTCAGCCAAGTAGAGACTAAAACAACCATACGGCTTCAGCCAAGTAGAGACTAAAACAACCATATGGTCTCAGCCAAGTAGAGACTAAAACAACCATATGGCCTCAGCCAAGTAGAGACTAAAACAACCATATGGCCTCAGCCAAGTAGACACTAAAACAACCATATGGCCTCAGCCAAGTAGAGACTAAAACAACCATATGGTCTCAGCCAAGTAGAGACTAAAACAACCATACGGCCTCAGCCAAGTAGAGACTAAAACAACCATACGGCCTCAGCCAAGTAGAGACTAAAACAACCATATGGCCTCAGCCAAGTAGAGACTAAAACAACCATACGGCCTCAGCCAAGTAGAGACTAAAACAACCATATGGTCTCAGCCAAGTAGACACTAAAACAACCATATGGCCTCAGCCAAGTAGAGACTAAAACAACCATATGACCTCAGCCAAGTAGAGACTAAAACAACCATATGGCCTCAGCCAAGTAGAGACTAAAACAACCATATCAAATCAAATCAAATAAAATTTTATTGGTCACATGCGCCGAATACAACAGGTGCAGACATTACAGTGAAATGCTTACTTACAGCCCTTAACCAACAGTGCATTTATTTTAAACAAAAAAAGTAAGAATAAAACAACAACAAAAAAAGTGTTGAGAAAAAAAGAGCAGAAGTAAAAATAAAGTGACAGTAGGGAGGCTATATATACAATAGAATAAAGTGACAGTAGGGAGGCTATATATACAGGGGGGTACCGTTGCATAGTCAATGTGCGGGGGCACCGGCTAGTTGAGGTAGTTGAGGTAATATGTACATGTGGGTAGAGTTAAAGTGACTATGCATAAATACTTAACAGAGTAGCAGCAGCGTAAAAAGTATGGGGTGGGGGGGCAGTGCAAGTAGTCCGGGTAGCCATGATTAGCTGTTCAGGAGTCTTATGGCTTGGGGGTAGAAGCTGTTGAGAAGTCTTTTGGACCTAGACTTGGCACTCCGGTACCGCTTGCCGTGCGGTAGCAGAGAGAACAGTCTATGACTAGGGTGACTGGAGTCTTTGACAATTTTGAGGGCCTTCCTCTGACACCGCCTGGTATAGAGGTCCTGGATGGCAGGGAGCTTTGCCCCTGTGATGTACTGGGCCGTACGCACTACCCTCTGTAGTGCCTTGCGGTCAGAGGCCAAGCAGTTGCCATACCAGGCGGTGATGCAACCAGTCAGGATGCTCTCGATGGTGCAGCTGTAGAATTTTTTGAGGATCTGAGGACCCATGCCAAATCTTTTTAGTCTCCTGAGGGGGAATAGGCTTTGTCGTGCCCTCTTCACGACTGTCTTGGTGTGTTTGGACCATGATAGTTCGTTGGTGATGTGGACACCAAGGAACTTGAAGCTCTCAACCTGTTCCACTACAGCCCCGTCGATGAGAGTGGGGGCGTGCTCATTCCTCTTTTTTTTCCTGTAGTCCACAATCATCTCCTTTGTCTTGGTCACGTTGAGGGAGAGGTTGTTGTCCTGGCACCACACGGCCAGATCTCTGACCTCCTCCCTATAGGCTGTCTCATCGTTGTCGGTGATCAGGCCTACCACTGTTGTGTCGTCGGCAAACTTAATGATGGTGTTGGAGTCGTGCCTGGCCATGCAGTCATGGGTGAACAGAGAGTACAGGAGGGGACTGAGCACGCACCCCTGAGGGGCCCCCGTGTTGAGGATCAGTGTGGCAGATGTGTTGTTACCTACCCTTACCACCTGGGGGCGGCCCGTCAGGAAGTCCAGGATCCAGTTGCAGAGGGAGGTGTTTAGTCCCAGGATCCTTAGCTTAGTGATGAGCTTTGAGGGCACTATGGTGTTGAATGCTGAGCTGTAGTCAACGAATAGCATTCTCACGTAGGTGTTCCTCTTGTCCAGGTGGGAAAGGGCAGTGTGGAGTGCGATAGAGATTGCATCATCTGTGGATCTGTTGGGGCGGTATGCAAATTGGAGTGGGTCTAGGGTTTCTGGGATTATGCTGTTGATGTGAGCCATGACCAGTCTTTCAAAGCACTTCATGGCTACAGACGTCAGTGCCACGGGTCGGTAGTCATTTAGGCAGGTTATCTTAGAGTTCTTGGGCACGGGGACTATGGTGGTCTGCTTGAAACATGTTGGTATTACAGACTCAGTCAGGGACATGTTGAAAATGTCAGTGAAGACACTTGCCAGTTGGTCAGCACATGCTCGGAGTACACGTCCTGGTAATCCGTCTGGCCCTGCGGCCTTGTGAATGTTGACCTGCTTAAAAGTCTTACTCACATCGGCTACGGAGAGCGTGATCACATAGTCGTCCGGAACAGCTGGTGCTCTCATGCATGCTTCAGTGTTGCTTGCCTCGAAGCGAGCATAGAAGTGGTTTAGCTCGTCTGGTAGGCTTGTGTCACTGGGCAGCTCGCGGCTGTGCTTCCCTTTGTAGTCTGTAATAGTTTTCAAGCCCTGCCACATCCGACGAGCGTCAGAGCCAGTGTAGTATGATTCAATCTTAGACCTGTATTGACTCATATGACTCAGACCTGTATTGACCCATATGGCCTCAGCCAAGTAGACCGACTAAAACAACCATATGGCCTCAGCCAAGTAGAGACTAAAACAACCATATGGCCTCAGCCAAGTAGAGACTAAAACAACCATATGGCCTCAGCCAAGTAGAGACTAAAACAACCATATGGCCTCAGCCAAGTATAGACTAAAACAACCATATGGCCTCAGCCAAGTAGAGACTAAAACAACCATATGGCCTAAAACAAGTAGACAGGAAATAACTAGATTAAATAACAATGACTAGCTACGAATTCTGATTCATACATGAGGTTTGGAGAAGGGGAGCCTTGTGCCCTGAGGTGAGTGACTGATTGAGGAGACAGTGACTGTGAGTGAAACAGCCGTGCGGCTTGTTCTAATCCAATCATTGCAGCAGTCTTAACCGATATCCCGCCCATTTAATTGAAGACAGAAGAACTAGCCAATAGTTGTTTGGAGCACTTCATGCTGTCTGAGTGAAAGAGAGATGCAGCTGGAAATTATTTTTCTCCCCGATCACAGATAAATATAAATACTTGTCATAATCATATTCGGAAGTGTCTCCATATCCGTTACAAAACTCATTTTTTCCCAGTACTCTGCACACCCCTAGCCTAGTGTGTATAGTTTACTATAGGTCAATAACTTGCTCAACAAACTGAAGTGTTGTTTACTAAAGGTCAATAACTTGCTCAACAAACTGAAGTGTTGTTTACTAAAGGTCAATAACTTGCTCAACAAACTGAAGTGTTGTTTACTAAAGGTCAATAACTTGCTCAACAAACTGAAATGTTGTTTACTATAGGTCAATAACTTGCTCAACAAACTGAAGTGTTGTTTACTAAAGGTCAATAACTTGCTCAACAAACTGAAGTGTTGTTTACTAAAGGGTCAATAACTTGCTCAACAAACTGAAATGTTGTTTACTATAGGTCAATAACTTGCTCAACAAACTGAAGTGTTGTTTACTAAAGGTCAATAACTTGCTCAACAAACTGAAGTGTTGTTTACTAAAGGTCAATAACTTGCTCAACAAACTGAAATGTTGTTTACTATAGGTCAATAACTTGCTCAACAAACTGAAGTGTTGTTTACTAAAGGTCAATAACTTGCTCAACAAACTGAAATGTTGTTTACTAAAGGTCAATAACTTGCTCAACAAACTGAAGTGTTGTTTACTATAGGTCAATAACTTGCTCAACAAACTGAAGTGTTGTTTACTAAAGGTCAATAACTTGCTCAACAAACTGAAGTGTTGTTTACTAAAGGTCAATAACTTGCTCAACAAACTGAAATGTTGTTTACTAAAGGTCAATAACTTGCTCAACAAACTGAAGTGTTGTTTACTAAAGGTCAATAACTTGCTCAACAAACTGAAGTGTTGTTTACTAAAGGTCAATAACTTGCTCAACAAACTGAAGTGTTGTTTACTAAAGGTCAATAACTTGCTCAACAAACTGAAGTGTTGTTTACTAAAGGTCAATAACTTGCTCAACAAACTAAAGTGTAATTTATTATAGGCCAGCGTTCCCCCAAACTCAGTCCTCGGGACCAAAACGTGCACCTCTTGGGGTCCCGAGGACTGAGTTTGGGAAACCCTGCTATAGGTACAGCTTACTATAGGTCAATAACTTGCTCAACAAACTAAACTACTTATAGGTCTATATTTGCCAGTGAAGTTTTTACACACTTGCCCAGGGGCTTTTGGAATGCTAGGCCTTGTTCTCCTAAGAGTGCAGGCTTTTGTTCTAGCCCTGCTCGAACACACCTGATACTGCAAATCAGCTGCTCATCAGGTCCTCGGCTAGATGAACTGAATCATTCAAGTATGTTGGAGCAGGGCTGGAACAAAGGCCTGCACATCCACTGGGCTCTCCAGAAACAAGGTCAGCCACCCCTTGCAGATGCCATCTGTCCCAAACACAGACTATTCTCTTCATACTTCGATTACGATGTATTTATTTTATTTATTGCGGTTTGACTTGTGACATAGATCAAAACACTTGGGTGAACTGTTGGAATCATTGATATAGAATGATTTATATTAAGAAGCAAAGTGGAATTCTTGTTTGTAAGCAGGTAGCTTAGTGGTTAAGAGCGTAGTGCCAGTAACCGAAAGGTCGCTGGTTCTAATCCCCGAGCCGACTAGGTGAAAAATCTGTTGATGTGCCCTTGAGCAAGGCACTTAACCCTAATTGCTCATGTAAGTCGCTCTGGAACAGAACATCATACGGGAGAGATACAACAAACAGAGTCAACTATAAAAACAAACATCACACGCAGCTGAGTGGCGTTTCAAAAATATTGCAATATGGATCCCTCTTGCGAATATGTGTATTATTATTATTATTATTATTATTGGATTCCTCTTGCGATATGTGTATTATTATTATTATTATTGGATTCCTCTTGCGATATGTGTATTATTAGATTCCTCTTGCGATATGTGTATTATTATTATTATTATTATTGGATTTCCTCTTGCGATATGTGTATTATTATTATTATTTTTTGGATCCTCTTGCGATAGTGGTATTATTAGATTCCTCTGCGATATGTGTATTATTATTATTTATTATTGGATTCCTCTTGCGATATGTGTATTATTATTATTATTATTGGATCCTCTTGCGATATGTGTATTATTATTATTATTATTATTGGATCCCTCTTGCGATAGTGTTATTATTATTATTATTATTGGATTCCTCTTGCGATATGTGTATATTATTATTATTATTATTGGATTCCTCTGCGATATGTTGTATTATTATTATTTATGGATCCCTCTTGCGATATGTGTATTATTATTATTATTATTATTATTGGATTCCTCTTGCGATATGTGTATTATTATTATTATTATTATTGGATTCCTCTTGCGATATGTGTATTATTATTATTATTATTATTGGATTCCTCTTGCGATATGTGTATTATTATTATTATTATTATTGGATCCCTCTTGCGATATGTGTATTATTATTATTATTATTATTGGATTCCTCTTGCGATATGTGTATTATTATTATTATTATTATTATTGGATTCCTCTTGCGATATGTGTATTATTATTATTATTATTGGATTCCTCTTGCGATATGTGTATTATTATTATTATTATTGGATTCCCTGCGATATGTGTATTATTATTATTATGGATTCCCTCTTGCGATTGTGTGATTATTATTATATTATTGGATCCCTCTTGCGATATGTGTATATTATTATTATTATTATTGATTCCTCTTGCGATATGTGTATTATTATTATTTTATTATTGGATTCTCTTGCGATATGTGTATATTATTTTATTATTATTGATTCCTCTGCGATATGTGTATTATTATTATTTATTATTGGATTCCTCTTGCGATATGTGTATTATTATTATTTTATTATTGGATCCCTCTTGCGATATGTGTATTATTATTATTCTTATTATTGGTTCCTTCTTGCGATATGTGTATTATTATTATTATGATTGGCTTCCTCTTGGCGATATGTGTGATTATTATATTATTGGATCCCTCTTTGCGATATGTGTATTATTATATTATTATTGGGATTCCTCTTGCGATATGTGGATTATTCTTTATTATTGTGATCCCTCTTGCGATTATGTGATTATATTATATTATTATTATTGGATACCCTCTTCGATATGTGTATTATTATTATTATTTATTATTGGGATCACCTCTTGCGATATGCTGTACTTATTATTGATTATTATTATTGGATTTCCTTTGTGTATTGCACATGTCAATATTACAATTTCGATGTGAATGCCATTAATTGTGCAGCCCTACTATGTAGGTAATAGGGTGTAGACGTTCTGGTTCTCACCTGCACAGACAATGGGGAAACCATCAGCATAAACTTTACTTGCAAGATGTTCAACCATACTCACTGAAAACACTGCATTCTGGAGTCCAAACGGTATGGGCGTGAGTCTCGCTAAGGCCACCACCTTGAGTCCACTCCCCCCCTCCACCACCCGTTTCACAGCACTGAGCTGCTCAGAGTTCCCCACCTTGTTGACCACCCAGTCCGTCAACAGCCTCTTACACACCAGGTGAGCCACGAAGGTCCCAACGAGCACCCCGACCATCACCAGTCCCATACCCAGCACAAAGCCATAGAGGTACCCCGCAGCCACGTTCAGCACCATGTAACCCCAGCCGAACGGGAAGGACACAATGATCAGACCAACTATGAACAGCAAGGCTCCAACCAGGCTGTCCAAGCTCTCCACCCAGAGCAGAAGGTCCTTGAGGTGCTGTCTGACTAGAGCCACGGAGGAGAAGCAGACAGCTGTCAGAATGCATGCCATGAGGGCGCTCTTGAAGCAACACGTGGTAATACAACACGGGTGTCTGAACTCTCCGTTGGTGGCGCCGCCACCGGTGAAGGACATGCCAGTGTCAATGATGCTCTCCAGGTCTCCGTCAGACTTGCCAACGGCGCCTCCTCCTCTCTCGTCAAAGGCGTTGCATATCAGGATGTCAATTTTATTGCACTCGTCCGGGGAGGATCTCTGGAGCCAGCGGTTCAGCTGGATTTGTCCTTTGACCGCAGCGTGTTTCAGGACCTTTAGGACGACATGGAGGGATGGTGTCGACCCTGCGCCCCACATGGTTGCCCTACAACGGAGTCTCAGGAAGATGGACTGTCGCTCTGACTGGTGGTGCTCAGATTGAAGAAGTGCGTTGTAACTTGAATGTCACCGTTTCCCTTGAAGAAACGACGACGCTTGAACATAAATAATGACAACTGAGAAAGATAATTAGGGTAACGTGCTGACAGTGAGAAAGGTTATCGATGTCTTCTGTGTTGGGGACCCATTTCTATTTCTCAGCACAGAGGACAACTGTTTACATGGGCTTCAAAAGGAAATTATTCCAATCTGGGTTGCCATTATAAGAAGTATCGTCCAGTGTGACAGTTCTTTATCTTGGGTACACCAATTGGGAGACATGCCAGTCCAATGACTTATGAAAAACGTTTTCACATCGCCTCGAATAGGAGGAAAACGCCATAAATTACTCACGGCAGGTATCGTCACAAAATCCCTGCGTTAAAAAGCATCGGTCGATGGAAATCTGGCAAGCCGAGGAAAGGCAACAAACTGACCAGAAAGTCACGGTATTGCTAAAAACATCAGATCAAGCCTACAATTCGTATCATTACGAAACGGTCCAGAGATAAATCCGTGCAAGACTCCCAACTTCTGCGACTCGTCTGTCCTATTTGGCGTAAAACCTTGCAACGAGTTGCTAGTCCACTGAGATTGACTCCACTTGGCTAGCTGCTTGCCTGTACAAAGTCCCGTAAATCCTTTCCAACGGGCGGTTTCACCGGTATTCTTCCCGGGGCAAAGTGACAACCGGAGCGCCGCCGTCAGTCTGATAGCCAGCTGCGTCTTATTTGTTGTTTTGGCCACAATAGTACCGTCTGTGGAGGCTGAATGCTCTTCATACACCAGACACCGCTCTGTTTGTTTCCCAGAATGCCAAGTACCAGACCATGTGACTACTACCGTTCTGGCCTGTGAACCATGGCGGAGGAACAACCCACCAACTGTTTCTCTCTCCGGTGTCTTTTTGTAGAGACTAACTCCGCCATGGTTAGTTGGACAAAGTCAAAGAGTATGGATAAAGAGGACCACAGTATGAGTCATAATACACATAAAACCTAATCAAACAGGGAAATGGTTCCATTCATTTTCCCATAGGGGATTTTAGTATAAAGGGCTGTGTTTTGTGTAAGCATACTCTGGCGTGACGTTTTCACAACAGTATAAATCTCTCTAGGACAAGGTGACTTTCATCAATATTTTATTGATAAATTGTATAAAAAAAATTTAAAAAAAGAGCAAATGGAATGGCATCAAACACCTGGAACCATGTGTTTGATGTATTTGATACCATTCCACACTGATTCCGCAGTCAATACCACAAGCCTGTTCTCCCCAATGAAGGTGCCTCCTGTGCCCTTGACCCATCCTCCTCTACTCTCTTCACTGCCTCAGCACTGCTCTGACTCTGGCCACCTCAACCTGCCTGTCTCGCAACTTCATCCACCGAAACTACACACTCCTCTATCCCATGCCCTCTGGCTGCACATTTCCCACACAAGGTACATGTCTCTCAGCCCTAACACTTGGAGTAGCCCTCCACAAATCGGCAAGGCCAGCCGTCTAACTCAGGCGTATCCTTTCTTTGGATTGGTGGATACAATTTCAATTTAAGGGGCTTTATTGGCGTGGGAAACGTATGTTAACATTGCCAAAGCAAGTGAAATAGATAATAGACAAAAGTGAAATAAAAAAATATAAAAATTAACAGGAAACGTTACACTCATAAAAGTTCCAAAAGAATAAAGACATTTCAAGTGTCATATTATGTCTAAATACAATTTTGTAATGATGTGCAAATAGTTAAAGTACAAAAGGGAAAATAAATCAACATAAATATGGGTTGTATTTACAATGGTGTTTGTTCTTCACTGGTTGCCCTTTTCTTGTGGCAACAGGTCACACATCTTGCTGCTGTGATTGCAGACTGTGGTATTTCACCCAATTGAAATGGGAGTTTATCAAAATTTGATATGTTTTCGAATTCTTTGTGGATCGCTGTAATCTGAGGGAAATATGTGTCTCTAATATGGTCATACATTTGGCAGGAAGTTAGGAAGTGCAGTTCAGTTTCCACCTCATTTTGTGGGCAGTGTGCACATAGCCTGTCTTCTCTTGAGAGCCAGGTCTGCCTACGGCAGCCTTTCTCAATAGCAAGGCTATGCTCACTGAGTCTGTACATAGTCAATGCTTTCCTTAAGTTTGGGTCAGTCACAGTGGTCAGGTATTCTGCCACTGTGTACTCTCTGTTTAGGGCCAAATAGCATTCTAGTTTGCTCTGTTTTTTTTGTACATTCTTTCCAACGTGTCAAGCAATTATCTTTTTGTTTTCTCATGATTTGGTTGGGTCTAATTGTGTTGTTGTCCTGGGGGTCTGTGGGGTCTGTTTGGTGTTTGTGAACAGAGCCCCAGGACCAGCTTGCTTAGGGGACTCTTCTCCAGGTTCATCTCTCTGTACGTAATGGCTTTGTTATGGAAGGTTTATGAATTGCTTTCTTTTAGGTGGTTGTAGAATTTAACAGCTTTTTTCTGGATTTTGATAATTAGCGGGTATTTTCCTAATTCTGCTCTGCAAGCATTATTTTGATACATCTCATTATTGTAATCCTTTTTAACATTTTTATTTTTTCATTTCACCTTTATTTAACCGGGTAAGCCAGTTGAGAACAAGTTCTCATTTACAACTGCGACCTGGCCAAGATAAAGCAAAGCAGTGCGATAAAAACAACAACACAGAGTTACATATGGGGTAAACAAAACATAAAGTCAAAAATACAACAGAAAATATATATACAGTGTGTGCAAATATAGCAAGTTATGGAGGTAAGGCAATAAATAGGCCATAGTGCAAAATAATTACAATTTAGTATTAACACTGGAATGATAGATGTGCAAAATATGATGTGCAAATAGAGATACTGGGGTGCAAATGAGCAAAATAAATAACAATATGGGGATGAGGTAGTTGGGTGGGCTAATTTCAGAATGGATGTGTACAGGTGCAGTGATCGGTAAGCTGCTCTGACAACTGACGCTTAAAGTTAGTGAGGGAGATAAGAGTCTCCAGCTTCAGAGATTTTTGCAGTTCATTCCAGTCATTGGCAGCAGAGAACTGGAAGGAATGGCGGCCAAAGGAGGTGTTGGCTTTGGGGATGACCAGTGAGATATACGTGCTGGAGCGCAGACTACGGGTGGGTGTTGCTAAGCTGAAGGTTCGAGTTGCCAAACTTCAGCCTCGAAACCTTAATGACTTGGAGAAGATCTGCAAAGAGGAGTGGAACAAAATCCCTCCTGAGATGTGTGCAAACCTGGTGGCCAACTACAAGAAACGTCTGACCTCTGTGATTGCCAACAACGGTTTTGCCACCAAGTACTAAGTCATGTTTTGCAGAGGGGTCAAATACTTATTTCCCTCATTAAAATGCAAATCAATTTATAACATTTTTGACATGCGTTTTTCTGGATTATTTTGTTGTTATTCTGTCTCTCACTGTTCAAATAAACCTACCATTAAAATTATAGACTGGTCATTTATTTGTCAGTGGGCAAACGTACAAAATCAGCAGGGGATCAAATACTTTTTTCCCTCACTGTATATGGGGCTTTGGTGACAAAACGGATGGCACTGTGATAGACTACATCCAATTTGCTGAGCAGAGTGTTGGAGGCTATTTTGTAAAAGACATCATCGAAGTCAAGGATCGGTAGGATAGTCAGTTTTACGAGGGCATGTTTGGCAGCATGAGTGAAGGAGGCTTTGTTGCGAAATAGGAAGCCGATTCTAGATTTAACTTTGGATTGGAGATGCTTAATGTGAGTCTGGAAGGAGAGTTTACAGTCTAACCAGACACCTAGGTATTTGTAGTTGTCCACATACTCTAGGTCAGACTCGCCGAGAGTAGTGATTCTAGTCGGGTGGGCGGGTGCAAGCAGCGTTCGGTTGAAGAGCATGCATTTAGTTTTACTAGTGTTTAAGAGCAGTTGGAGGCTACTGAAGGAGTGTTGTATGGCGTTGAAGCTCGTTTGGAGGTTTGTTAACACAGTGTCCAATGAAGGGCCAGATGTATACAAAATGGTGTCGTCCGCATAGAGGTGGATCCGAGCGTCACCAGCAGCAAGAGCGACATCATTGATATACACAGAGAATAGAGTCGGCCCGAGAATTGAACCCTGTGGCACCCCCATAGAGACGGCCAGAGGTCCAGACAACAGGCCCTCCGATTTGACACATTGAACTCTATCTGAGAAGTAGTTGGTGAACCAGGCGAGGCAGTCATTTGAGAAACCAAGGCTATTTAGTCTGCCAATAAGAATGCAGTGGTTGACAGAGTCGAAAGCCTTGGCCAGGTCGATGAAGACGGCTGCGCGTTACTGTCTTTTATCGATCGCGGTTATAATATCGTTTAGGACCTTGAGCGTGGCTGAGGTGCACCCATGACCAGCTCGGAAACCGGATTGCATAGCGGAGAAGGTACGGTGGGATTCGAAATGGTCGGTGATCTGTTTGTTAACTTGGCTTTCAAAAAACGTTCGAAAGGCAGGTCAGGATGGATATAGATCTGTAACAGTTTGGATCTAGAGTGCACATACACATTTATCCTTCCATCTTTACAATCTAATTACATAGACTACATGTGATCCAATTTTCAAACATAAATAAATGAAATATCCTACTTGCGATAATATATAGCTAATGTAGTTATCTAGATGTTACCGTAATACGGTGTCTCATGTTATAGCCCACAATTAGTATTTTCTGTATTATTGTTGTCACCAAACAAATTCAAATGTGTTGTTTTTCTTTTAGGTGTGAATAAAACTGAATACATATTGTAAGCTACAGATGGGTTATTGTAGGGGATTACTACACTGGCAATTTTAGAGGCTTAATCTGTGTACAAGAAACCGGACCTTATTGAGCCCCGGACACCAAGTGTATTTGACTGCTTGGCATATTGTTACCCAGTAATTTATGTGAACTGATGTACATGTAGTCTAAT